TGAGGGTGCAATACCATGGTATGGTATGGTATGGTATGAATACCATGGTATGATATTTTGATAATGAAGACTCTTAGGACAACAAGACTTGATTCTATTTCCAATTAACAAGACTTTGGATTGGACAGATTCACTCAGCTTCAATAAATTGGACCAAATATTATGACAAAAGAAGACTTTGGCCAAACACTCAGGACAACAATACCTGATTCCATCATATGTACTTCTTAAGAAAATTGAGATTATATGCTGTTGTTGGCCATACTATATGTACATGCTATGTAAGTAGGTAGGACTGCCTGATTGGCCCTACTGGGCAAAATATATTTGACCTATTATTGGGAGGATTCATATTAATGGCTTTTTAGAAATGAAAAAACCCTCAATTGAACTGATTTCCAAAGGTTGGAGTTGACTTATCTAGCCTCCACTTGGAGTTGGAAATCTTAGAAAAAACCTGAAGAACCTTTCCACTTTTCTTTGCTTCTCAATGACCACTTCATCCCAATAGATGTGGTATTGTTTGATTTGGATGAATATTGTTCAAATAGAAAGGACTGGGAAAGACATGTATCATTAAATGGCTTTGGATGCATGAGAAAAGCTGGGATAAAGCCTATTTAAATTCATTTTCAATAGATGGTTTGGACTATCTAGCCTCAATTTGTAGTTCAATATCTCAAGAAAAACATGGAGAACCACCCCACAAAAAATGGTACCCAATGGACCAGTATTGCAGCCTGCAGAATTTATTTATTTATTTTGGAAAAGGACCCCAGACACCCTGTGACAGCTTTGTCATACCATCTGTTTTGAGAGTGTAAAGACTGCAAAAAAACCAGTTAACATGAACCTGTGTCTTGACAATGGTCTCCTGCTAACTCACTCAATGGCCTCCTCCCTCCTTTGATGAATGTCTTTTGGCTTCACCCCCCTATTTCGATGAATGGTCTCAGCCTTCCCCCTACAGTCTTGTCCCTCCTTCGACAAATGATCCCCCTTCCTCAAGAGGCATCAGCCACATGACTTGACATGACTTGGCAAAGTTTAAAAAGACTGCTTTTTAGTCATGTCGTGTATTTATATAACCTCCCTAACTGATTATCATGATTCTAGAGAGCCCTAACAAAGAGAAGTAGATCAGATTCTTGGACCTGTGGTGGCATGTAAACCCTTCATTTTTGACATGTCTCTTAGGCTCTGAGTCTGAATGTGAATGATATTTTGCCTTGGCAATATGAGCAGCTCATCTGGAGCATTGCTACATCTCTGCAGATGGCCTGCATTTTGTTTTGAGCCACTTTGACAAGTAGGCAGTTGCTGATGGAAAAGGAGAAGGGACTCTGGGCGGCCAGTTGTCAATGTGGTGCTACCTGCTAATTATGATCTGCTTGAGAAGACGACTGGACTGATACACTGATCCCCCCCCCCCAATCTCAATGAAAGGTCCTCGAATGGATTCTGTGTGGGGTCTATGCACCTTCTATCCATAGGCTTGATCAGGGATCAGATGTGAATTTTTGGAATCAACCTTTTTTTGCAATGTGCGATCTCTTGAAGACCCTGAAATATGTGAGAAAAAAAAATCAAATCAGCCTTCTTTTTTTTTTTGGTCTCTATCTTATCAGATAAGCACTGATCTATAGATCTAGGCCCTGCCCTTGGTGAGGGGATCTGAATTTTTCAATGGATCGTCTTATTCCATTGAAATGGAGCTCGACCCAAATTTTCAGATGCGGGCTCCAACATAAGTTCACTTGGCGTCCAAATGCTCGACTAATAGAGATAGGTCGAGTGCGCCCGACCTGCGAGCATCATGATAAAATCCAGTAGCGTCGCACACATTCGTCATAACCTACCTCGCAGATCGAACACACCCGACCTGCGAGCGTTATCGTGTATTATCATACCTAAATATGTTCCAGGATGCATCATTCATCTCTCGCAGGTCGAGTGCTCTCGACCTGCGAGGGTTTGTCGCTACCGACTTTACCCATCAACCTACTAAAGTACATAAAGTTCAACCATATAACCCATTTCCGTTCCGTTGATACCGTTCGACCTGCGAGCCTTTTTGCCCATTTCGTCTAACATTTGTAACACCAACCTTGTTATCCTTACTCTAAAACCCTATAGAATGAACAATATGGATAAGATACTTGAAAGTTACGGTGAGTTCTTGTCTATTTAATCATTCAGCATGACTGGTCGATGCTACAGGCTGATTCTGACTTGGTACGTCAGCCTGCAGCGGGGTGGATGGATAACAACGGCATTCTTCAAAAGAAAAAGGTGATCAATCATATTTATCTCGAGGAACTTTCATCCTTATCAACTGTTTTTTAGGATACCCCGGATACCCCTCTTCTTGCCAGCGCGTTGACTCAAAGAAAATTCCTGCGTGATCCCTCACTCGTTAATTTAGATTGACTGAGGTCCGAGTGCCACAATCGGCGGTATGTTGAGTACAACGTGTTCTGGGAGTAAGCTCACCCACATTCAATGCTATCCCATACCAATTCACTGATTGCCCACGCAGCAAATGCCGTTCGCGTGTGCGTCTTTTACGCCTCAACCCACTCGAGCCCCCAACGGACTTACTATTTCAAAAACTTTGTCACAGGAGGTATTCTGCAATCTCTTTACTGAGATTGGCCTTCTTGGTTATGGCGCGCCTGCTCCCCACCTCAGTTGCAGTCGTTCAGTTCCCAAACATGCGTGAGGCGTGAGAAAGGTGATGAACCGCCGAGTTGGCGTACGTGAACCTTCAGCGCTTCGGCCATCATCGCTTACTCACTCACAACGACCCCTGCAGAATGCGTGGAACTCGTAGATGACGATTTCATCTGCGCAACCAATAAACTTGGGATGTCAAAGCGCAACGGAGGATTTGAGTGGGAATCGATTGACGTAGTCCATGTTTACTCCAGATATTGAACCTTACTTATATTGCTTCCAATTCGTTAAGATCTATCCAGTAATTGTAACAAGTACTAGACAATGTTCGTCATAGAGGTTATTTCTCTGCATGGCAATGTTATGTAATACGGGCGCAGGAAAACGCGTATCTCTTAAATTGGCTGAGGATTTACTCCTCAACCCAGCTAACACCTCATAATGCGTACTCTGCGGATACTAAATCCGCTACGTCCTCTACGTGGACGGATACCGGCATTCTCGATGATCAACACGAAACGCCAGAGGAAGCGGCTGCGCGTGAACGTTGAGAAAAACACGGGCGGCAGCAGGAAGAGTTCCGGAAACGTGCAGAGGTCAAGCGCGGACTGCGGCGATTTTTACCCGTCACCACATGCCCTTTGTCCGACGAAAACACCATCAAACTCCTTATCTTCCACAACCAACAGTGGTCTCGCATCGCCGAATACAGATCTCTTCATTGGTCTGACTTCCCTTGGCCCGTCTTGAGCTTTTCTGGGCCCAAAAACCCTAGCGATCTTACCCTCGTCGCGGTTTCAGTGTATATTTTGTCGGCATTTGATCTGCGGAGGGATAAGGCAAGGTCGAAGGAGAGGTTGAGGGAGCATATCAGGAAGTGGCATCCCAATCGGTTTGAAGGGCGATTTTTGAAGAATGTTTCCGAGGGGAGGGAAAGGGAGAAGGTTAGGCTTGGGGCTGGGATGGTGGCGAGGTTTTTGAACGATTTATTGGCCAGATTTCATGACCTCGGCTAAAGGTGTGCTCATCTTTTTCTGCGACTTTGCTTCACGTCATTCCATTTATTTCTTTCATTTCTCCCCTACGTTATTGTTGCCATCTTGATATATACCTAACTTATTCACTTCACATCATCATATCTTACATACCCTACTTTTAGTAAGTTTTACCCATTCTCTGTCGCTTTGCTGTCGAGTTTTTATTGCTTTCCCATTCAAAACATATGGCAAATTGATGGGTGGCCATCAGGTCAGAGGCATTTGCTTGTTTAAATGGTGTACAAACAGAAAGTGCGTGTGAGAAAAAGAAAAAAAAAATCTAAGAGTGTCTAAAGCCCACAAAACCCAGAAAGAAGTCCCCTACATGATGATACACTTGCCCTGCCTCTTCTCTTTTGTTTTGGTGGGCACTGAGCCCCCAGGTTGTCGTAGTGCACGAACAAGGTTCATGAAGAGGCGCTCTACATTCTGCGTTGTCTTGGCTGAGGTCTCAATGAATTCACAGCCAAAGCGCCGCGCCATTGCGGCACCTTCCTCCTTTGACACCTCTCGCTCATAGGTCTTGTCACACTTGTTGCCCACAAGGATGAACGCGGGGTCACCCCGCTTGACTCGGCACATGGACTGGCGGAAAACCTCAAGCCGATTGAATGTCGACCGAGAGGTGACGGAATAAACTAAGATAAATCCTTGCCCCTCTCTGAACACCCATAAGCTAGGGTAACAAGGCGTACTAATATGACTCACCGGACCCACTGATCACGCAACGTGGCGTATTCCTCTGGTGTTTGGTGAGTAATGAGAAGTATCAGGGGCAGAAAGAACGCGCACCCTGTCCAGCGGTGTCGATGACCTCTACAAAACACATCCTATTGTCTACCACCAACTGCTTCCGGTACGCGTCTTCAATCGTGGGATCGTATGTCTACAGATCCATTAGAGAGTATTGGAGAACGATAAGTGAGAGGAGTACCTCTGATGAAAGACAATACTCGGTTGATCGCTGTACAATAGAAATGAGAGGTTAAAAGCTCACCAACGAAAGAGTTGAGGGTAAACTAGGTGAAAAAGCGTTAATTTGCAAGTTCAATCGTGTTTGTGACAAGGGGTGGGCGCACCTGGACAGCTAGCGCTGTTTTGCCCACACCGCCGTCGCCTAGCACAGCTACTCTCCAGTTGTCCATTCTACAATTGGAGGTGAGTAGCGAGGACAGAATGCAATCGGACGGGGACAAACTTCAAACTTGAAATGGTCAGGGCAATTGTAAACGAGAGTGGGTTGGGGGTTGAAGAGACAAAAATGACGGATTTGTAGGTAGGAGGCTGAAGACGAGAAGAGAGGTGAATGGCAAGGAGGAAAAAAGGCGGGAATCGTCGTCACGGTGCATAGTTTGTGGACAGGTCATAATATTGACAGAGACTGTCAGATCCACCGTCAGATCTTGACAGCGGTTATGTCAGTTACAACCGGCCGGCGTTCAAATAACCGCATTAGAAAACGCAAAGACTCCAAATATGAAGCCCATTCCAACCTCATCTATTGCGTCGCCTTCGGCACCTCAAGCGTAGTGGCTCTCGCGTCCTCTCCTCCAGTCACCTCAGCGACTTCTTCACAATAGACCGCAAACCCGAGGACATCGGCATGGGGAGGAGCACAACGAATTACTCCAACCCTGCACTAACCTTTAAGGGAAAGAACTTGCCTAGCGGCCGTTGGTTTTACCTTCCCTGGGTGGCGGGAACCCATTTAGAGAAAGAATATGAATCCAAGAGGGAAACGTATGTGAAGTTTGGGACAAATAGTAAGGAGGATAGACGTACTATCCACTTCCACACCTTCCCGCTCCCTCTCTACACCGCCTGCTCGACTATCCACCCGTGTTCCCTCAATGATGGAGTCTTTTCCGACGTCTGGTGTTGTCGACATTGAGCTAATGATGCGCAATCACGTTAAGTATTCACGGAACGTCTCGTTCCGTTGTATTGAACAACTTACCACCCTACATCCTACACCTCTGAAGTAGACGTCACGTCTATCGTCGTCCTGCGTGTTGGAAAGTGCCAACGCTGGGCTTTGTGTAGAGCTCAAGTACAAGTCACGATCGTTACACATGTTACTGTTTGCTCACCGTTTCCCAAGACGTCCATCAGCCACAACCTCAAGCTCAACTTTCAACTTTCAAGAGGCCAGTTGGTTCCTATCGGGATTCGTGTACGATTACTTACATTTTGTAGCTCATCATGTCATTCTAGCCGATGTGGACACATTAGTAAGTGAGTGAGTGATTCAAACGCGGGAGTTGCGCGGAAGGACGCTAACGAACCTTCTACAGTCTCATCGACGGCCAAGGCGATCATTGCGTGGGAGACACGACGAAAGAGCTGGGATCAGGTGAGTTAATGCTGTGTACTCGAGGGGATGTGAACGACTGACATACTTTTTGCAGAACCAACTTTTTATTCATGACCCTCCAAGGGGGTTCAAGAATTAAAAAAAAGTAGCTGGGGTCGAATTTTTTTGTAAGGCCCTGTGTGCTTGACCTACCTACCTACGTAATCAGGCACATGCCTATATATGGCAATGTGACATCATCATCATGATCCCTCTGATCCTCTAAGGCTTCACATACCCAATTTCGTGGGGCTATCTCCAATGCAACACATTGTAGGTGGCACTAAAAAATAAGTGAGTGTAGTGATTAACTTTTGCAAGACTGATACTCACCCATTGAGTCTCACATCCAACCCTTTTACATTTTACCAAGCCATTGCATTCTGAGTGCAATACCACACCACACAGGCATCCGTTTAGAGTGTCTGATGTGTCAAAAGCATCAAGATGATTCGAGTTTTGAAATCAGGTCACACAGCTTACCCATCAGTGTCAAGAACTGGTCTCTGACTGTTTTGTCAGTAAATTGTGATTGATTAAAACATTAGACAAAAATTTGATGAAGATTAGACTGTGAAAAACAATTTTGAAGCCAGAAATTGGGCCGGATATAATGAAATATAATATCCAGTCAAGATAATGTACTATACAATGATATTTTACATGCAGAAATACTGTAAATCACCTTGTAAAACCAATTTAGGACTATCTCATAGAGGGTTCCAAAAATCTTTTTTTCGGCCTACGGCCAACCTACCTACCCAACCCCCGGTCCGGCATTCAGATCCCTGAACCCCCTTGTGACCCTCGCAACGCCTATCCCGCTCATTTTAGCCAATCACCCTGCAGGAAAGGAATAGAAGCAAAGGTAAGCGAACGTTGTCCACGACGAAATCGACGTTGACATACCCGGTCACCGTCTAGCGTTGGAAAGTCTTAAAAAGTCAATAAGCAACGTCAAAATCAACAACTGCAAACCACGACGACTACAGACCACGACGAGCGGACGGCTTACTGGAGAATAACGACGACGAACAAGAGGTCGACGACGAGAGGGGAATGGGGATCGACAATTGACAATGAAAGGAGGAGAGAGTGGAGGTAGGATATGAGAGCGTATGTAGGTGGGCGCTAGCGCTGTTGAAAAATTATGGGACTGACCGCCCCATCTTTATAGCCTTTCTGCCTTTAGCCTTTCTGCCTTGGCAGTAACCAGCCGAGTTGTGACTGACGTGACGCAGAAATTTTATGGAGGTAGGGTTTCGTATTGTGCATTGTGCAGGGTTCGGAACCGGGGAGGACGGAGGAAATGAGCTTTGCATTGGTTTCGTACGTATCCATTCCTTTGGTTTATTTAATCAACTTCGGCTTCGTTAAATGTACTTTTTATTAGGCGGCACTCGAAATACATTCAACTCATCCCGAGAGAACAACCGACCAACGCACAACGGCAGAACTCTGCACGGCTCCCGTTCGCGAAAGCCTTGCGACGCTGCGAGAAAGATACAAGCCAAGTCGTTTCAAATCAAAGTACGTACAGCCATCAGACCCTTGATGAATATCTTTCTGACAGTTTAATGTTCAGAACGCCGTTTTTTAATTCGGAATCGGGAGAGGAGAAGGAGGACACATTCAGCGGTCATCTAAACTCGAATGAAACTATGTGCTTTGGTCCTTCCTGTACAGGTAAGTGTATTATGATTCTACCACATGAATAAACAAGTTTCAGATTTTTCTCTATCACAGAACCACGAAATCGTATTATTGAAGGGTTCGGACAGTAAGCGCGAACGCCAGCTCACAAATTTCTTACAGCAAAACTGATGAACTCACAAGTGCAGTGACGTCGGGAATACTACCCGAACAAGACTCTGACACGTCAAGATGGAATATACCTCTGCGGTTCAAGCACGATGAAGAATCGGGGGAGGAGGAGTATATCCTTACATATTGTTCGAAATGTACGTCCCCTACGCTTTGTCAACGTTTCGAATCGTTGATACTATAGAGGATCTAGGTAAAGAATGTGAGATATTCTTGCACACGTCTCCCCACGTCTGGGATGCTGCGAATGGAGGAATGTGAGGAATGGTACGAAATACGGGAAACGACACGCCCGCTATAATCTTTCACTAACGGAAATTACATACCCAGGCACACAGATGGTAGTGTCCTAAAGAAGACCCTGATGTGTAAAAGTGCCAATGCGTTTCGAGCGCGATGGATCTGGAATTGAGGCCTGGAGGAGCAGGGGGCTACCATTCTTTTTCTAAATGTATGTATGTCCGCGTGTTCCACTGTGATCATTTGTTGTTGAGAAGCGTTGAATACTACATTTAGGAATAGATATGTGAGTTTCCCTTGGACAAAAACGATACTCTGCGAATGGAGGAAGTTAGGGAGTGGTAGGTAGTATGACGCGCGCTGTGGCACGCTAGTATCTTCCACTGACAAAAGTTCTGGAAATTCAGAGGTACAAACTTGGCGGGGTCCTGAAGGGGACCACTACGTGTAGAACTGTCAGCTTTACCAAGGTTTTTCAAGCGAGATCCTGAAAATAGAATTGGGGGGGGGGTCGCAATGTTGCAAAATTATTGACTTTGAGGAACTTGCATCACGGCCGCCTTATACGTGGTATATAAAATTTTCCAATTGTTGTAATACATATGAGACGTACGCCAGAAATATTTTCCGACACGATAGCGGTGATGGTGGAGTGTAAGGACAGCGTGAAAACCTCTGTAATTGCTGGGTGAACACAAATAGATCTAACTATTACATATGTGTAAAGTCAGGTGAAGGTTCAAACGTTCATTTTCAACGTTTTGCATCTTTCAACAGATCTCAAGCTTGGGAAGGGTTCAATGTAGTTGGGGCGCGTAAAAAATTGAACGCTTCGAAGTAGCCGGAATGAGTGCAGATGACGTCAATCGTTCATCAGGGATAGCCGGAATGCATCCCAATGATGTCATTCTTCCCGAACGTGCGTATTTGGACACGTTTGCGTCAGATAGCCGGAAGACAGGCTGTCGGAGTTTCAACTGACCTGGTTAGTTACTAGTAACTAACCACTCCGCGCCGCCCAAGTGCTTGAACATCGACAAGGGCTTCTTCCTGCCAACGTTACCAAGGGTGCAAGAGGAAAAGTGACGAAGCATCTAGAACACAAGCATCTAGGTGAATATCGTGCGCACGAGGAGCACTGACATACTTTTTCCCGAGGACAGGTGGGCGTTTCGTACCGCCTTCTCCATCATTACCCTACGGATGGTACGTCCCCCCTCCCTTTTCCCTCTTCCCGCTCCATCTTCAACGCAGCTAAATCAACCCAGACGACCTCGAAGACCGCCTCCACACTGTCGGCATATCAGAGTGCAAATATGAGATGGAAGCGACTGCTGGGAGGGGTAGCTGTATGGAGTGGAGGATTGCGGATGTTGGTGTGGCCAAGGGGAGACAGGTGCGCGAAAAAACACGTATCCAATATACGACGTCCAACGAAACACTTAGACATGCAGCATTCGGCTGCTTACAATTTGAATAGCTCCAGCTCAAAGCTCTTCTGTCACAGATCCCGTTGCCAGCTTCGACGATCGTTGGTATGCGGTTACAGTTGGCCGGATTCCAGGCGTCTATAGAGGCGCGTGCGTAGTGTTCAATTTTCTATAGAATGTGTACTGTCTGACTCGATCATGCACAGTCACCACCTGAGCGGGAATTCAACAGGCACGCCAGGGGGTACTGTTCAACGTTTCGCTGACAAGCTCATCCAGCGCAAGGGCGTCTTTTCCTCCCTTGCCAGTGGAGGGGAGTGGGTCAGGGAGTGGTAATTATTCGATCTCTGCTGGATTGTTCTCCATCTTCATGGTTTATTATCTTCGTTTTCCTCACCATTTTTTTTCATCTTCGTTCACACACCTTCGTTATCCCCCTTTGACATTATCCGCGGTTCATTTGCGACGAACCTGATTGCATTATTCCCTCCTTGGACAAGCTTACCTTACGCATATTACCCCAACTTCGTGACCTCACTTGTAAAATATAGTATGCAACGTACTTTAACTACTTACGGAATATAATGATTTTATGACATGTATGCACTGGCAGTGGAACCTTAGGACTATATACTGACTGGCATTACAGGAGCTACGTGCTCGCCTTCAATCGTCCAACAACTTGGCATAAACCCTTTACTTTCCACGATACCGTGGAGTCAGGTAAGCACTGAATTTAATGTCGTCCTCCCTGTTATTCCATCAGAGAGAAAACGTGCTAAGAGTTAATGGGAAAGAACATACGTCGTGTTGAAGAGCTCCATATCGGTTTTCATGAATATGTTCGAGAACATTAAATACAACTCGGCCCACGCGAGGTGTGAAACAATGTCAAAAAGGCGAAACATACATTCATGCAGGTGCCCAGATAGCTTTTATGTTCTTTGCAGACAGTGCGAGCGATAGACGGCCAAGGTGTCTTGAGGACAAGAACACCTTCAACGTTATTACCTTCCAATTCATTGCCCGTAACGGGATCAAGAATGGCAGGCTCAATACCGAAGAAGGGGATAGTTGCGGAGCCGGGCAGTGTCTCGATAGCACCAGGGAACGGTGTAACGATGATCGACCCAGTCTCTGTTTGCCTGTGAGCGTTCAGCATCAGTGGACACCACGGAATATGTACAACTCACCAGAAGGTATCCACAATGGCGCACTGAGTCTTACCAACATGTTCGTTATAAATTATACCAATTCGACGCCTCTGGGTCGATAGGCTCGCCCACGCTGCTAAGGACGCACAGGCTGCTGAGGTCGTGGTTCTCGACGTGGTGAGCACCGTGGTAGTGACTCCATTGGCGAGAGGGCCGTACACAATATATCTGGATGTCATCTGAGAATTGCGAGTGATTGAGGAAAATATAACGTATGTGTGACCAGTGATCCAACCGACGTCAGCCATTTGTTATCGGGGAAAGATGTATTTGACAGCGAGGGCTGTGCAAACCTAAGGTACTCTCCTGCGGCGCGGACGACACTAGATCCGGACGTCTAACAGTGGAAACTATAGACGGGCTTCGTGTGAAACAAAAAAAAATCTCACGAGTCACATAGAGAATGAACAACAGGTCCTCAGGTGCCATAATCTCAGATGGGCCCTGCAGAACGTGGGGTCAGGTTAATCCCTTGAACAATGGGTGAAGCAGGATGTACCTCGGAGGAGGATCCATAAGGAATGAGTGCTGAGCTTGAGTTCAAGATGTCTGAGACGGAATCGCAATAAACTTTGAGGAGGTCTGCTGGGTTCAAGTCTCAAGACGTAGATAGCGATATGTTGTCTCACAGCTGGGAATGAAACAAAATAATGTGAAGGGCTAAGAGAGCGTCAACGAGAAGGAGCTAGATCCGTACAATATCCCATCTTCCGTTGGGCGGGAGAGGGATGTTTGGCGGACAGCGATACATCTTCTTGGGTTGAGGGAGGAGACAGGGCAATGAGGAGGAGCTGCGGAACGACAGCTGGATGACAATGTGCTAGACGACGGTAAGTCAGCATTTCTGAAAGACTTTTGAAGAAACCAACATACCCTGTATATTTCAAGGCACTACACTCGGAATCGCGAAAACTCCAAGAAGATTCCTACGCGACTCGGTCAAAGCAAGTTGACATGCCTCCGCATTCCATATACCTCGACGTCTATCAACATATTAGTTAACGTCTATATAAATGTGTAAATCTATGAGACGAACATAAAGCTAACATACCTTTCAAAGGAAAACTAGCATACCCTTGAATAGAACGTTGATACTACCGAGATGTTAGATTTTGGTGAGAGCCAAACAAGGACAAGCGTTACGCTGATTTTGCAGGCGTTGCCGGCCCCCAATGATAGTGACACAGATATGGAACTCGCCTATTAAACATTGATCTTAATCATGTAAATTACATTTTTTATTACTTTGAAGAGACACGAATGTGCTGGGCGGACGATCTACAATGCAAACGATCCAAAAACCACTCCGTGATGACCTAATACTACCGAGATGTTAGATTTTGGTGAGAGCCAAACAAGGACAAGCGTCACGCTGATTTTGCAGGCATTGCCGGCCCCCACAAGTAACACACAACATGTCCTTCATATCAACCACCACAATCAACCACCTTTCTGTCGGCTAACGTCTACCATCATGGTATCATCACCAGAATCCCTCTCTTGCAAGTCTTCGTCCTCTTCATTCCGCATGCCACCGCTAATGAGCAATGCAGCCACTCTTCGTGCCCACTCTCCTCCAGCCGTCGATTTATGCCATATGACATCCGGCCTCGGCTCACCTACAAAACACCCCCAACCCAGCCTACGCTCAAACGAACCCCGACTCGGATCACGCTCACCCAACTCAATCCCTTCATCGCCCACCTTGGTGTACGTGTCTTTTTCTTTCACTCACATGTACCCCGATCTGACACGATAACCACAGCCGCTCGTCTTCATCGGCGAACTTCGAACGGGTCATTGAACCTCCCGTTATCCCCCCTCCGCCCACGTTCCCCCATCACCCGCCCAACCCCCAGAGTATCACGCGCAAAGTCGACTGAAGAAATCGAGCAGTCTGTTCCCTCCGTTCTCGACTCTGCCGCGTCCATCCTAGCGTCCATCGACGACTCGCATCCAGAGGAACAAGTATCTGTAGAGCCCCCCCGCCTCTCGGAGCAGTGGCCGTTGAGTTTCAGAAGCAGGAGTCCCAGTCCCTCTGGGTTCAAGGAACATAACTGCTGCCGGTGTACCCGTCCATAACCTCCTTCTGAGCCCACATGCACCGCCTACCACCTTCCCCGTCGTCGGCCGCATTCACCCACCCAACTTCCAGCGATCAGGCCTACGATCCAGACACAGACGGCTATGGTGGCTTCGACGCCGTCCCTCATCACGCCCACTTGGGCGTATTTCTCGACTACGTCGATGGGTAGCTCTTCATCTTCGTCTTCCCCTACTATGACGACGGCGCAAGAACACCCGCTTGCTTCGCTTCCAGAGCCTGACGATGGTGATGTCGGCGCGGGGGACGAAACGGAGGATTCAGCCAAAGGGAGGAAACGCAAAGCACAGGCAAAGGGCAAGGAAGAGTTGAGGTGCGAGAAAATTGCGAACTTGCTTGTGGAGGGAAAGAAGGGCGCGGATTTGGAGAAGGCTGTGAGTGGGAGGGAATGATGATGAGCCAGAAAGAAAAATCCGAGCTCTCGCCTTCATCCTCCTCCACCAGACCCCGCCGCTCTCGAAAGACGACGATCCCTGCCGTCGATTCTATCCCTCGGGTCACCACTCACATCGAGACAACCCCAATGCAAGATGTTTTGCAGCGAGACTCTACCTCCCCTTCCTGTAGGCCTCTCCGCAGTCCCACTAACCCACATGTTCAAACGCTCTCTCTCCCTTCCGTCAAGCAACCCGCGCTCAACACTCCCGGCAATTACAATCACTCTTCCATCCGACGCCGCGTCGCCAGGAGACGGGGAAGCCAGCAGGATGGGTACACCAGGCACACCATCATTGCGTCGTCCTCCCTATTCTCAAAGAGATACCGCCGCCTTATTCCCACTCATCTGCACTCCCTTTACATCCTACGGCCCTCGACATCTCCAGTCTGAGGATGAAGAAGCACGTCGAAGGAGTGAGTTATCCCAAAAGGGCTGGTACTGGTGGCTGTCGTCGGGTTTGGAAGACCAGATCGCTGACTCGGGCTGTGAGCGGCCGATGATCGCTGATGGGATGGGATATGAAGATCCTGTCGGACAGTACGATTATCAGTACATCGAGGTGCGCCGTTGTGCCTCGCTTCTTGTCTTCTTGACAGCTGATTTTGAATTTTGTTCACTCAGCAATACGGTGCGTCTCTCGAACTCCCAAACGACGGCAGCGAGCTCGTCACCTGGTCAACAAACCCCAATCGTCAAGGCCTCGTCGCCGTCATACAAGATCCTCATATGCATTCCGAGACCGACGTCCCTCTCTCGACCCTATCCCGCCACCTGTGTCGACAGACCCCTCAAACTACTTCTACACCTCCCCATCCGCACCGCTCCCCGCTTCGTCATTTTCCACCTTGTCTGGTTGGGCTGGCGATTATAAGTATGACGAAACTTCCCATCGACAAACTTCATCAGCCGTTAACGCGACGGTGTCAGCACCAATCCCGGCATGGTACGAAGCCCCTGGTTGGGAGGCCCATCAACATCAGTTCAACCATCCTAATCTCTACTTTAGCCCGGACGATTGGGATCAGATAGAGGTGAACCATGAGGAAGATCGCCACATTGGAAGACGATCGTGATATCTGCTGTCTTCCTGGGTTAATATTTGTTCTCTTTCTTCCACTCTCTCTGCCGTTTTTCTTTACTCTTCGACTTCATCTCTTCGAACACATCTTGGCAAATCATTGTAGCTATTATTATATTGTCTCCTCTTTCTTGCTCCATTGGCATCACAACATATAGATATGATCAACTTATGTTATTCATTTTCACTGTACCTCTCATCCATTCCTTGCACATAAGTACTGTAGAAATTTCGAATCAAAGTTAACACACGAGGTGCAAGGCAAAATTGTAACAAAATCGAGAATTGATCCGACAACGCCGATACTACAAATGACAACGGGCTTCTCCGGCGTGTTAGTAACTTTGCTTCTCTCTCTAGTTTCTCTTCACGAACGAATATATGAGGATGCGAAAGTACTACCTCACGCGCACGGTCTACTTGGATTCCGATAACGCAAATTTCACCTATTACAAGATGTCTCCGTCAAGAATTCTGGAGATCTCGAACAACAACTAGTCCAGGAGAATCCAGTTGCAGGTGGCCAAAAGTATGCTGCGCGCCCATTTTGAACAATCAGTGTCGCCGAGTGGGTTCTTGACCGAGGAGCTCCAGTTAAGTACGCTTTCTCGAGCTTGAGCCCGTCAACTTAGGTCCGCTTCCTTTGACTGAAAAGTTTGTGGCACCTGATCGAATTGGACCATCAGTACCCCGGTATACTTTCTAGATGATGAGCAGGTGAGCTACCAGCATCAGATATCGAAGTTTTCTTTGTCGTTCATTCTTCTCCCTCATTGAACCCGTGTTCCTACGTTGAAGTTCTCAAACCGCCATCATACCGATGACAAGTTCGACATAAAGGAGATTTATCACGCTCTGCGTATCGGTATCATCATCAACGGGGACACCCTGGTAGACGACATGTTCTTAAGCGATGGATCGCGGTTCGTAAACATCAACTACAGCTCTCACATAACTTTAACGCCTCGCCATACTTCTCAAAGGTTGACCTATAGATTCGCATAAGGGACGCAAATCCGCATGGCCAGTGGAATGTGACCTGCGTCGCAATAATGGTGGGTGGGTTGATCAACCGTCATTAATCATTCACCAATGATGCCATTAATTGCTGCTGGGGGAGGTCGCCATATGGTATTGCACGCGGTGCTATCCGCATGACGACCCTGTGTGTATGCAATGCCTTTTCAACGCGCCAGAAAACGATTCAACCAAAATATAAAGGCTTTAGGTGCGGGTCTCCTTTATATCAATCGCATCATGCAGACTTTCCCCATCCTCATATCTCTTGTCTTAGCTGGCTCTGCGGCTTCTCAGCAAATTTGGGATATTGTGAGCGTTCGCTCCTCAATCTTCCTTCGCCGCACATACATACTTCTGATCTGATAGTGGCAAACAACATGGGATCGTTCAAAGCTCTTCAGCTCCTTGTCTCCTACTTCCCCCATCAACTTCGTCACGCCAGGTCCGATTGGCAGCGCGGATATCATCGTCAACGATGCGATAAAATTTCAGACTATTGCTGGTTTTGGAGGCTCTCTCAGTAAGTCGATCAACTGTTGTGCTGTGGTTGTTACATCGACTACTTTATCCATTTCACAGCCGACTCATCTGCTCTCGTTTTGAACAACTTGAAGGTCGACGGAACCACATACCTGTTCGATCGCTCTCATAGCTCCCTTTAGTCAACCAACTCTCAAAATTACTGGACGTTGCTGAATCATATGTTCTCCCCAAAGTATGCCGCTAACGCCGCTGGTCTCAATTACATTCGTGTTACAGTTGGAGCCTCTGATTTTTCTGCGAACCGTGAGTCAATCGAAGCCTCAAGCTTCTCTGACGCTGATCTCTCAGAATTTTAATTTATAGTCTAGACGACAGCAGCGGTGATACATCTTTCAGCAACTTCAATATCAACAAGGTCCCATCCTATGTTTTTTCCGTTCTCAAGGATATTCGGGGGATCAATTCTAATCTCAAAGTCCACATCATCCCACGGTCCCCGGTCAGTGCACCAGTTCCCCCCTCGACATCCACTCACTTATTTCTAGCCAGGTTGGATGAAAGATAGTGGGAGTATGAATGGCAGATCCTTACAGTCAAAATACGTCCCTACTTGTAAGAACTTATCATCTGCTACCGCATTCTA